GGAATGTCACCATTACATGTCTTTTCTCTGACCATACAACTGTGGGGAAATCCCAGTCCAGGTTGGCATCCGTATCCCTGGTCTAGTGTTCTGTATTCCTCTACCCTTTGTGCTCCGGGCTGAGGAAAGGGAAGAGTAGGTGGGTGCAGAAACCCGGAGGCGTGGTATGGAACTCACTGTGTAGACGAGGCTGACCTTGAACTCTCAGAGCTTGCCTGTCTCTGCCTCCTGAGTGTGGAGATTAAGGGCGTGGCCGCTAGGCCCGACCTAATATTGAGAGACTTTTGAGGGGTGGTATACCAGTCACTTTTCTTGTTGTTATGATAAAATACCTACCAGGAGCAACTTGGGGAGGAAAGGGCTCGTTTTGGCCCACAGTTTTCGGGGCAGTCGTCACGGCAGGAAGACAAGGCAGCTAGGTTTTCCACAGTGGCAGAGGGATCTGCTCACATCTGAGCAGTCAGAGCGCAGAGAAAGGTCAGAGGGTGGGGGAGGCTGTAACCCTCAAGGCCATTGCAGTACCTGGCCTCCTCCAGCCAGGCCCCGCCTCCTGAGAAGGCCCACATCCTGCCTAGACAGCAGCAGCAGCAGCGGGGTAGTATGTCTAAACCTAGTCTGCAAGGGCAGAGAGGGAGGAAAGCTTTCCAGAGGGGCACTGTGTAATTGGTACAACTGAGCAGGTGTTTGGGGTCCAGCTAGCAAGCAGAGTGTTTGAACTGTGAGGAACAGTGAGGGACACAAAATAGGACAGACCGGAGGATGAACCGTGCCTATAGGCCCCTGGAGAAGCCAATGGCTCAGAGGGAGCCATGGACGACTCTCCAGTCTTTAGAGAGAGCCACAGTGGGCCAGGTAGGAACTTGGACACTTCACATTTTTATTATTGCTGCTCCCCCCCGCCCATGGTGAGAATCAAACTCAGGCCGTGCATGTCCTAGGCTCTACCAACCAGCCCTCAAGTTTGTTATTTTATTTGAGGCTCCTAATCACCCCTGGTAGGTTGGCATCTGTGCCCATTTTATTGATGAGAACACGGAGGACAAGAGGCAGTGAATCCTAGAATAAGCTGATGTGGAGCTGAGAGCCTGGCTCCTTCAGCCCTGGAACTGCCTTCTCTACTGCAGCGTGTGGCTTTAAGCTGTTCTCGCTTTGGGAATGTTTCCTCCTGCGAAGCCAGGCCAGGCTCCCAGGCATCTCTCAGACCCCACCCACCCACCCACTCGCCATCCCACCCCAGGCACACTCTGGGGTCAGCGCCTCTTGGACTTTTGGACATCTCACGCCGGGGGTGGAGTGCCAGGCCTGTGGTCTGGTAGAAACGAATTCTCATATTCCGCCCCACAGATGCCAGCCCAGGAACAGGTTGAAGCCCGGAAGTGAGGAGATACGGTTGCAGGATGTCTGTAGCCATGTCAGTGTGTGCGGGTGGGGGCTGGGGAGGACTGGAGAGGGGAGAGGAGATCAGACTGCTCACGAGTTGACAGTTGCTGAGGTTGGATGTGGGAGCCCATTACACTGCTCCTTCTAACTGCTATATTTGGAAAATCTTCACAATAAAAACTAAGATAACTCAGAGGGCACCCCCAACACCCCACCCTATTCCAGATAAGTCAGTTTGTGGTTTCAGGCTTTGCCCTAGTTTAAAGTCTCCTCCTGTAGGGGCAGAATCCTGCACTCTATCCTCAGCAGCTCTAAAACTTCAAGGTGGAGTCCTATCCAGCCTGTTTCCTCATATGGAAAATGGGGTAAAGATTCTAACAACCCCATGGTGGTGGTGTAAAGGTTAGACAGGATGAAAGGTAACTTGTCGGCTGTAGTCCGTAACAAACGTGAGGCCACCACCCATAACAAGGGCACCATTTGACACCTCCACCAGAGGGACATGTGCTGAATGGATTTGAATAGAGAGGGCGGCCCCGGCTTTGCCCTGTGGCCTTACTGTTGGCTTCCTGGACTTTGCCTCAGTTTCTCTATGAAGATCAAAGACAAGTAGAGGCTCCGGTGGAAGCTGGGTGGCGGTGCACGCCTTAAATCCTAGCGCTCAGGAGGCAGAGGCAGATGGATCTGTGTGAGTTTGAGGCCAGCCTGGGCTAAAAAACTCATTCCAGGACAGCCAGGAGAAACCCTGTCTCAGAAAAAAGGAAAAAAGGAAAGAAAGAAAAAAAAAAAAGGCTCCCATTTGGGCTGTCTCCAGGCCTGTGAAACAGTTTCCCCAAGGACCCTGGGTCTGTCTCTGTGTCTAGGCTGCCTACTTCAGGCAGGAGATGCTTGCAAAGGGAAGAGCGAGCTGGACAAGAGGGACCTGCGGAAGCCTTAAGAGAGGCAGTGGGAGCTTTTCAAGAACAGGAGACATACAGACACACAGACGACACACACACACACACACAGATCCACACAGACACACAGACACACACAGACACACAGACACACAGACACACAGACACACAGACGACACACACACACAGATCCACACAGACACACACACACACACACACACAGACACAGACACAGACACAGACACACACACACACACACACACACACACACACACACACACACACACACACACACACACACACCTCTCGCCGAGCTAAACACCTGAAAGCAGGAGAGGCCAAGGCGGCTTGGGTCTTGGGATGACCACCCAGCCTGAGGCCTTTGGACTGGCCTGGGTTCCGGGTATTTTCCGGGCTGTTGAGATCCGCAGTGCCGCCTGGTGGACGCACGGGCGGTGCAGGCTCCCGAGGCTGACTGCTGCCGCCCGGCTCTCCCCAGCGGCAGGGAGAGGGCAGACTCGCAGAGGAGGGGAGGGACAGCTCCAGGATGCCGCCGCCAGGAGGGGTGTGTGTCTCCTGGGAGGCTGGAGGACTCGGCCCAACCCGCGACACATACTGACACCCTGCACCCTCTAATGCGCAGGAGTGACCTGGCTACATCCCACGTGTCGGGGAGTCCTTCCTGCCCTTAACCCCCAGCCCCGAGGCCCGGGAATTTTGCTGCCTCTGCCTAACTTCTCCCGGAAGAGGGTCTCATTAAAGTTTTTAAGAGGTTTTATTTTGGTTAATAAACTGTCAAGAAGAGGCATGGAGGCCCGAACGTCCCAGTTGTCTTTCTAAGGTCCCAGGCTTGAATTCCAGGCCTGAGGAATGTTTACACCTTCCCTGTCTGAACCGGTCCTGGCAGGAGAAGGTAGTGGCCCAAGGACCTCCGCCCTAACGTGCAAGGCCATGGTGGGCGAAGCTTGTGAGTAGCAGTGTCAGCGGCCTGGCTTTCAGATCCCATCCACCGGCCCTGGGGTGTGTGCTCTGGTGGCATCGTCTCCTCCCCAAACTGGTGGTGGTGGGGTTTGTCCAAACACCTGGGGATGGTGAGCCTTCCCGTGCTTGCTCAAGGGAGAAGCCCAGACCAGCCCAATGTCTCTCCTCGGACCAGAGCCCAGACCAGCCCAATGTCTCTCCTCGGACCAGAGCGGCCGTAGGGTCGCATTGTTCCTTCTCCCAGCGCCAGCTCCGGTGCCAGGGTCTCGAGGCCGCCAGGCTGCACCCTCCAGGAAAGCAGCAGAATCTTCACTGTCTGCCCCTGCGGCTTTCTGGAGGTGGCCGGGTTCGCTCTGCGTGCCACCCGGGAAAAGGTCCCGCAGCCAATTAGACTGGTGCTAAGGAGGATGGAAAAAAATCTCAAAAGCCACCAAGTCCCGTGCAAATGGCACCCGGGCCCCGGTGGTTGTTCCACGCAAGGCCTAAAATGGAGCGTAGACTCTGTGTGTGCCCCAGGGGCGACAGAGAGGGCTGGTGCGGAGGGAAGTCAGAAGCAGCTCTGGGAACCCCGAAAGGCCTTAGTCCAGGAGGACGCGCTATGGGGTGCGTGCCCCGGGCGACGACTCTCTGGTCCCAGGATCCCACTGAGCGAAGGGCGTCCTGGGCCCAGCGCTCCCAGAGGTTTTTAGAATTGCGGTTCCCGCTAGGTCCGGCTGCGACCGGGGGGATTCCCTATGCCCGCGCTTCTGGCTGCCGGGTGGCGAAGCTCAAGTTGGGGAGAAGAAGGTAGCGCTCCGCCGCGGGGATCCACAGCCGGATCCTGCCTGCACCGATGCCCTCCAAACAGCACAGGTTTGCTGCGGCGGGGCAGAGCAGGACCGCTAAAACCCTCACACCGCCGAGTTTAAAAGGGGCCTCCGGGTTCCCAGCCCCGGAACGCACTCTTGCAACCCGGGCTGGGCTACGCACCCACCCACTGCGGAGGGGCCCGGGCAGGGAAAAGCGGCCTAGGCGCAGGCCTGTCACCCGCCCCGACTCCGGCAGGAGGAAGGAGCCAGGTGGGGGCGGAGTGAGCAGGGTGTGAAGGGGTAAGGGGTCTGGGGTAATTCAAGGTCAAAAAAGAAAAAAAAAAAAAGAAAGAAAGAAAGAAAAGAAAAAACAATTCACAATTCACTTTGTTCCTGAGGGACAAGTAGGTCCTGCGTGCTCTCTCCAGGCTAGCAAATGCCTCCCTATCCCCCGCTAGTTTATCTGGGCCGCCTGCCCCAGGCCGGGGATGCTTGCTTTATGAAGAGGGGAACGGACAGGCAGTCGCGCGTCCCCCGGGGCTCCGGCCCGCCCGGCGAGTCTCAGCCTGCTCAGCTCTCTGCACAAAACGAAACTCAAATCCCCCCCTAAAAAAAAAAACAACCTTAAAAGAGGAATTTAACAAAAACCAAAGCCTCTATTTTCCCTGCTTTCACTTTTCACAAACCAGCTTCCGAGAGATTTAAATAAAAACGAAATGAGCAATTAGCCAAGGAAGGATACTATCTTTCCACACTGTGGAGTCTCTCTTCAAAAACATTTTCCCCCAAGGACAACCATTCAGATGGTCAGGCCTTCGGAAGCTCTAGCTATTCAAGAAAATCACAACAAAGCAGTAGGAAATTCAGCCAGGATCCTGGACAGAAGGTAGCAGGGAGGTCCCGGGAACCCGTAGCGGCCGAAACCGCTTTAATAAAAGTATAAAATTAAAAAGGATAATAAGTAAAACCTTTTAATACATCAAATATACGGAATTTTAATCTTTAAAGCGATACATTGTCTATTATTTTAGCACATGACGTAAACCTTGTCCCCTTCTCAGCGGGTGGACTTAAAAATTAAAAATAGTTGTGTTCCTTTGAAGAACAAAATAAGGCAAATGAGGTTTTGGAATAGAATTATTTTCCTTTTTTTTGTTTTCTTCCAGAATACATACAAAAAAATACCCATTCTCTTTCGATGGTATACACCTTAAAAATAATTGCAATTGGAAATCAGAGTTGACAAATTGTGACTTGTTTCGTCTTTTTCCTTTTTGTAACAAACATGCATGTAAATTTGAGTTTCAATCAGACATTAAATAAGAACGCACAATACAATCATAGCAATTTTAAAGTAACATTAAAGAGAAGACCCTAGATCTGTAGCGGTTTTGTTTTTTATTTATACTCTACAAGGGATGGGAGGGTTTGTTTTCCACATATTTACCCTCGAGTTTTAATTTTTTCCCCTCCTCCTTTTAACCTACGGAGCTCAAACTAAATAATGCACTTTTGAACCACGGGTCCGCTTGGAGCTAACATAAATAAATACCAATGTTCACTGGCGAAGTCCTCAGATGAACACTTTCTCAATTATTTTTCCTTCTTTTTCTATAAAAAGTCAAATGATTTTTTTCAACTTTTATAAAGTTTGGGTGGGGGAGCTAGGGGTGGAGGCGAGGGGTTCCCATCCAGGCTCACTCTGGCTGTTGTTGGCGGATAGGTAAGATTTAGGCTTTCTTTTCCCTTCCGTAGCCGGGCTCCTGCCCCTCCCTCGACTCCTCCCCTCCCCCCAGCTCCTCGCTCTCCCTCCAAATTCCTCCGAACTGCCCTCACTGATAACCCAGCGCCGAGGCAGTGGTCAGTCTTTGTCCGTAGAGGGCGTAGGGGGAGTAGTAGGGTCCGGTGGCTGCGGGCACCGGCACTGGGGCACCGGGCGTGGGGAGCGGGCTCTTGGAATACGGGTGGTAACGGCTGCTGAGTCCCAGTGCATGGTGGGGGCTGCGCAGCGCCAGGGTCCCAGGGCTGCCTGGTGCGCCCGACGTGGGGATGTGCATGTGACAAGCCATGGCCGCGGCGGCGGCGCTGGCGAGAGACGAAGAACTGGGGTAGCCCGACAGCAGTTTGTCTGTCCCAGGAAAGGCCGTGTGGGTCCGCAAGTGGCTCAGCAGCTCTTCGGACGTGGCGAAGCGCTTGTCGCACGGCCCGTTAGCTGACACCCAGTTGCAGATGTGGGGGAGCGGGTCGTTAGGGAGCATGAAACCATAGGGGTAGAGGGGGTGGCCAGCCAGGGAGGGTGGTGTGGCGCCCGCAGCGGCGGCAGCGGTCAGCGAGGAGTGCACACCGTGCAGTGGGTGTGTGGGGTACACCAGCGGGTATCCCGACTTGAGCGCGGCTGCTGCAGCTGCCGGGTCGTGCGCGCACGAGGCGCTGGCGGCGGCAGCTCCCGCCAGGTGGCTGGCGCAATGGTAGCTGAGGCAGTATGGGTCCCGGCACAAACTGGCTGTCATCACGGACGGCGGCGACGCCCCGGCCAGGGGACTCGAACCGGCTGGCTTACTGCAGCCAAGAGAGCCGGCCGCGGCCGCCGCCAGCTGAGCCCCTACCAGGCTGCCAGGCTTGGTGGGGTCGAGAGCCACGCCGTGTGGCAAGAACTGGGGCGGGTAGCCAGCATAGGCCCCAGCCAGGCTGCCTGGGTAGGTCATGCCCGCGGGGGGGAGAGGGAACACTGTCTGGCCGGGTTTGTAGGGTGACACGGGAGCCACCAGCCCAGAGCCCAACACCGACGACGAGGTGGGCGCGCTGGGGCCTGAACCGGAGCTGGAGCCGGAAGAGCTGCCGCAGTCCGAACCTAGAGCCTTGCCCCCTGGACCCCCGTCCGAGTGCTGGTTCACATCCACGTTAATTCCGCCGCCGCAGCTAATGCGCCCGTGTGCCAGCCCCGCAGGTACCCCGTCCGCCGAGGAGCCCCCGGCGCCCTTGCTGCTGCCACCGCCGCCAGCTTCCGGATCTTTCTTGTCGTCCTTGCCCTCCGGGCCGCCCCCGGCGGAGGGCAGCATGCCTCCCGGCGAACAGGCCGAGGCGCTGGAGCTGGGACTGCCTGTCCTGGGCGTAAATGGCTGGCAGGTGGCGCTCGGTACCCGGAATCCCGACTTCTCCGCAGAAACACCCCCGCCGCCGCCGCCACCCCCGCCGCCTCCACCGCCGCCTCCCGGCTCCTTCTTATCGGAACCAGGCTTGGAGTAAGGCTTGAAACTCGACTTGTCTTCCACGCCGATGTCGCTCAGTTTCAGGGGGCCCGACTTGGCGTCCTTGTCGCCCCCGGCTCCGCTGCCTGCACCACCCGCGCCGCCCCCGTTGGAGGCGACCGAAGAGAGTTTGGAAGAGGGTGACGGGTCGGGCTTCCCTATCTGCGAGCATGTCTGCGCCAGCAGCGCCAGTGGGCTCTTCTTGGCGTCCAGCTGCGGAGTCAGACCGGGGAGGAGGTCACACAGAGAAAGAAGGGGAAACCCTTTAGAATCCTGGCTTCAGGGTTCTAACGCTTGCCCTCATAGCCCGCGAAAGGCATCTCAACTTCGAGGCTCAATTCTTAGTGGCACCCCACTCCACATCCACCCGCAAAGATTCTCGTCCTTGAGAAAGATGCCAGACCCCCGACCCCTCTAGGGTCCCTTCCTGCATTCTTTCAGCACCACTTAGATTTGGGAACAATCTCAAGCAAATGTTTTGGTTTTCATCTCCTTAGACCCAGAACTGTACCCCCTTCCCGGCACACACTCCTTGATTCTAAAGAGTAAGGGCTTGAGCAGTTGGCGCCTCCGAGGCTGAGTAAATACACTAGCTTCTGGAGAGCCGGAGGAAGGAAGGCGACTTTGGAACAGTATCCAGGCCCTTGTCTGCCTAGGGGCCGATGGGGGAGGGCTAGGTACATAGGGGCTTTAATACAAAAAGGACAAGTTTGGGTGGCTTTGCCCCTTAGAATTTACACCCCATTCCATCTCGTTGTCCTTTCCGACTGAGGAAGCGCTATCCTTTTCTTCCATCCTGGAGCTGAATCACTCCGACCGCCCCCCCCACCCCCGCGCGCCCCATATCCCTGGGGAAAGAAACCCCACTGGAAGGCCGTCCCGGTAGGGGTTCCAGCTTGACCCTGAGAGAAGGTCCTTACCTCGATGGGGCTGACGGGCGTGGAAGGCAGGGGCTGCAAATACTCTGGGTGCAAAATGTGGCCAGTCCGTGCCGTCAGCATCTTCAGCACCTTGATGGGCAGGCGGTTAGCCTGGCGCAGGGGGTCAGAAGGGGGCACGGCGTGCACAAAAGGCTTGGTGCTGCCGGCCGGGGACGAGCCTGGGCCGTGGCCGGAGCAATTTCCAGAGAGCGCGCTGGTCCAGGCAGGGTCCGCACTGCCACTACTGCCGCCGCCGCCGCCGCCGCCGCTGTGCTTACTGCTTCTTAGGGCAGAAAGCGAGGGCGCTGTGCTCATGACCCACCCGCGCGCATGGGAGCAGCGGGGGGAGGGCTCCGGGACGCGCGGGGCGGGCTCGGGGCTGCGCGCTCGCCCGGGGAGCGGGAGCAGTTGGAGGAGGAGCTGGCTCGGCGGACGCGGGTGCCCCGCACGCCTTCTCGGAGCCTGGAACCAGAAGCAAATAATCCTGGGTGGCCGGCAGAGGAGCCGCGGCGAGGCTGGAGGAGCCGGGTGGACTGCGGGGTGCTCCGCGGTGCGCGGTGTCCGCCTCGGGCTGCGCCCTGCGCTACGCTCTCCCGGCCCCGAGCCGGCGCTGCGCTCTGCGATGTGAGCCGCTGCTTGTCCAGCCGGGGCTCTGGCGAGGAAACTCACTTCAAAAGCAGCTGCACCAAGGGGGAGATTAAAGCCTTTGCCGCCTTCCAATCAAATGGGAGCCCGAGGTGATTGGAGGGTCAAGGGGATGTGACGCGTCCCGCGCCGCCGTCGCCGCCGCCGCCAGGACTCTCAGAGCTGGTTTTAATGGGCAGCTCCCTCTTTGCCGCCCCTCGGCTTGTCCCCTCCCTCTATTTCGCTACCCGGACGAGGTGGACATTTATTCTACGTTTGCCATCTACCGCCTTCCTTCTTTTCCTCGTCGTCGTTCTTGGTTTTCCCAGCAGGAAAACAAACTGAAACCTTTTGGAGGGAGGGAGTGTGTATGCGTTAACTGACTTCGGCGGGTGTTGAGACGAAGCGCCGGCGGGAGTGTGAACACCAGCTGAACGGCCAACTCCAGGGATGCGTGGGGGCCTGCACTCCAATTTTTTTTTCAGAAATTGAGATCTCGCGTGGCGCGGCCACCCGGGCAAGGAAAGGTGGAGAACCGATGTCGGAGGAAGTCTGCCCGCCCGCTTGTGTTTCCTGAAGATCCGCAGCAGAGAAACCAGAAGCTGGAAGGGCAACGGAGGCGGCGGCTGCTCGTCCGGGCGACGTGAAACGGGGTTCTCCGCCTTTCTAGGTCACGTGACACCCGAGGACGCTCAGATTGGGGCAGGAGCGGGGGTCACATGTTTCCCGTGTTTCACACTCGGTCCCCCCCATTCTTGCTTTCCTCCGCTATCCTCTCACCCCCCCCCCCGCGTTTCTCTGGGCATCTCCACCCCTCCATCAATTGTCAATGTGCCTCGACCGCAATCAATCAGTTATTTGTCAGCTCTTGTCAATCTGCCCGTGATTTATGTCAGCTTTTGTTGCTGATTACAAGGCGGGTGAGACTTGAAGGGAAAAAGAGAGACCGAGAGTGAGACAGAGGAAGGAAGAGACCTAGAAGGAACTGAAGGAGGGGGATAGAGGAGCAGCCTCCTGGTGTGTGTGTGTGTGTGTGTGTGTGTGTGTGTGTGTGTGCAGGGGGTGTAAAAAAAGAATGAAAGGGGGGGAGAGGCGCCCACCGTCAGGAAAATAAAATAATGAGAGCAAAGCGCGCAGGTGCACCAGGACGCCGTGTCGGGCGCGCCGGCCTGGGGTGTGCGCCTTCCTCCTCGTGCTGGAGAGACAGACACGTCCCCCACCGTGGGCCGCAGAATTCGGGATGCTTGGCGCCTAAGAACGGCGGTGGAGACGTCTAACGCGGGAGGTTTCCCGCCTCACTGGGATAATCCCTCCCGGGCATGTAACTTGAGGATGTCCGGCCGCCGCCCTCGGTAGTGTCCCGACCCCCAACTCGGAAACTTCTTTCCAAAGAGCCACACCGCCACTGTAGCCCGCGTCCTGGAGGTTGCTGGGGGGCTGACCCTCTTTAATTCTGTGACCCGGGTTCGTAGCGAGGGTTGAAAAGCTCCAGAGAAGAGGCCTGGCCTGGCCGCGTGCACAGGCAAACAGGTTTCAGGTTCGCTCTGTTCCTCTCCCGGGCCCTTCGCCACCACCCCGACAGTCCTGGGAGCCGGGACCACCCGGGGCTGCTCGACCGAATAAAGGGGACCGTCCCGACAGGACTGACCTGTGCCGGGAGAGGAGAGGGAAGGAACGCGAGAGGGAGGGGCAGCTGCCTGTGGGAACCGGTTCTTCCAGGGAAGCGGAGCAGGACTGCTGCGTTCCCCTCGACTTGCGCCGGCCGGCACTCGGGCTGTTTGGAAAGAAGAGGGAGGCGCTGTGCGTGCCGCCTAGTACCTGGATCTGGGTGCTTAGTGTGTGTGCACTCCTGGGCAGCTGGGCGAATTCTCTGGACTTCCGGAGCCAGTTCGAGGGTCACCTCCAGAAACTCGTAGAAAGTGGAAGGGGGTGAGAGGAGGACACACCCCCTCCCTCGGAGGGACTAGGGAGACTTTGAACCCACACCCCCTTTCTGCAGAGCTCTTCTTTTGTTGTCAAGTCCTTTTGATAAATGGTGGGGCTAGGAGCTCCGGGAGCCGGGAGCGGATCTGTGCCCTGCCCTGCGCAGGGGCGGGGGCCGAGCCTGAAGACCATTTTCCGCCCATCGCGCACCCTGATCTGAACCGGGTAGTTGCAAGGGTCTGGTTGGGGACTTTCCTTCGGCTTGCTAGCCCATTCCTTTCCCACCACCCCAGTCTCTCTTTCCCTTCTGTTATTTTATTTTATTTTTGTCTCCCACTCCACACGGGTAACGAGAACTTTCTGGGGTAGGGATGAGTTTTACAATTTTCGCATAGGTATTCTTTCACGCCGTTTTGATTTCATTCCTTGATTCCTTAGGTTGGCATAGTTAATGAGCTGGTAACTCGATTAATGTTAATTTGGAGAGGGGAAGTGGTTTGTGCTTGGGACTGTGTGTGTGTGTGTGTGTGTGTGTGTGTGTGTGTGTTAAGAACACCTGCATTCAGGAAGGTTTGTGGTGTCCCGCGACAACTGAGGACGGTAAGTCTGTGAGACCGTGGCAAGCTCACACGTAGGGATGTGACGGTTGCCTGAATAATCTCTGGGACAAGAGTCCCAGAGTACAATTTGCCAGGCTGGCATTCCCAAACTCTCTGTCCAGCAATGTGTCTGAAGCCTTCTGTAACCTGAGGGGGTTAGTGCCTGACCCTGTCACCGATTGTAAGGCTGTGAAGATGTCACCTCTGGCCAACTCCTATGGTCCCAGCGTAGCAAGCTGGGCCATGGACCGTCTGCCATTTTGGCCTCTCCAATAGGCCTGGACATGGAAAGCTGGCGCTGTGGACAGAAGTAAGGGTAGCTGGAGCGCAGGCCTGGGGCGACCTCCGTGTGTCCCTTTCCTCCAAATCCAGCAGATTTCTCATTGTACTGGGCAGTTCACCGGAGGCCGCTCCAGCGCTTCAAGTCTGGAGGAACCGTGCAATGGCTCTCGCTCCAGAATGATTACATGCGCTCATGGGCGCGCGGTGTTCCGTGAGCTCTGGCCGTTGGCAGCCTGCTTTTACTGGACTCAAAACTCAACCCGCAGGTCGGAGCGCACGGGGGCGCCTAGGGGGGCTGTGTTCCATCGGCTTTGGGGAGGCACCAGTATCTGAGCCCTTGCACCTCTCGAGGGAGGCCAAACCCATGAAGGCTGTGCAAGCTATGTAGGTGGGGGGTTATTAATTACTCCAGGCTAGGCCCAATACCTCCAACCCTCTGAGGTGGTAGGCATGGATGTCCTGCGGAGTTTATTTGCACACAATGGACCTGATTTGTCTTCTCTTAAAAAAGAAGGCGTGGGCATGGTAGATATTTGAGGAGGTGGAGGAGAGAAGGCGGAAGGGAAGAGAGCTGTGGAAAAAAGTTTGAAAATGCCTTGAACTATTCACTGTCGAGATGGCTAATCAGTATTGAGGCCGGAGGGCAGGCGGGGCGCCTTTCACCGCCGCTTCCCTTTCATCTCTGGCTCGGCGGAGGCGCTCAATTAAAAGCCTATCAGTTTGTAAGTAAATCAACGCCTATCAGAGTTGTCACATCAAACAAAACGATTATTATTGCAGCCCGCCTCCCCTATTAATCTCCCTCGAAGATAATCCGCCTGACAGGTCAGGTCCGGCGAGCTGGAAAGCCTGGCCCAGAGCGCCCAAAGAGTCCGGGACTGGCACATGCCCCCAGGGGTCTCTGCACCCGGGGTCTGTAGCACCCAGCAATTCCCGGCCCCTGAGGGGTGAGGCAAAGAGCAAACTGAAGCCGCTGGACCCAGACCCTCCCCACCACACTACAATTAGGCCTGAGATTCTGGGAGCCACTAAAATGATGGTCACGCCCCAGACTAACAGCTTTTCATACCAGCAAGGCTTAGGGAGGGACGGGGCATGTGGCCTCCTCTCCTGCCACCTCTCCATGGCCTGTACTCTTCCAGGTTTACCTCTTTGACTCTGCTTATTTTAAAATTTCCACTCTCTCTTCCCCTTTTTGTTTCCAGTACAGTTTTTATTACTCAACCTGAACCCTTCATTTCCCCCTCTCCTTTCCTTTCTCCGATTTGTCAGGGAATATTTCTTATTGCCGACCCCCCCCCCATGTATACACCTCTACGTAGTAGTCATATTCTCTGGAGTAGGGCATTCTCAGGGCCCGGGTTGTTTCTCCCGTGGCAGGAGCGCGTGCAAGTCTCAGCATTTCCTGCTTAAATTCTGGTTTCTTCCCCAAGTAGGGACTTTTAGAGGCTCTTCACCCTCTTAAGGATTTTGTACATTTGGGGACAAGGAAGTAATTCAGCCAGTACAGGATAGTTAAATGTCCGGACTGTTAGGAGCTGCTGTTTTGGAATTAATAGTTTGCTTCAGATTTTCACGGTTCCAGCCTTCTTGACCTGGCCAACAGCCTCTCAGGGCTTTGCAACTGTCTTAGGTCCCACAGGGCATTGGGATTTCAGCACTTAGTGTGTGAAGGAGAGCCCACGATTTCTTAAGCAAATATTCCCAGGTGACTGCTTCCATGGCCTCAAACTAGAGCCCCAAGGACTGGGTGGGGTTTTGGCTTCTGGACTCTTCCTGGTGTCTCTGGCTTCCCACTCTGGCAATGCCTTGGAATGGAACACCACCCACCCTTCTCTGTTTTATGCTCTTGTCCAAACTCAGACCCAAATGGCCACTGCCAGAGGCGTTCTAAACCAGGACTGAGAGCTGACGAAGTATCTGAGGGGAAAGGGTTCTTGGAGGGACCCCAGGTCCTCTAGTTTAAATGGCAGCTCCTTTCTAAGACACTGTCTGATGTCTACATCCACAAGAACCCCAAAAGTACTCCGCAGCTGAACATTCAGACTGAGTCTTTCGAAGCAGCAGCAATTATGGGATTGAATGATGTGGCTATCCAATAAAACCTACTTCAGATTGCTTGGTGCGCTGGGCTACAGAACCCATGTAAGGTTCCCCAAGCGCTTCAATTTGTCCTCACTCTCCAGTCTTATGAGAATTATTTATAAACTAGAAATACAGTATATTCATATATGTGCATATGCATGACGAACTGTGGCTCAGTTAGCTGCTGGCCTGCTTTTCTTATGCATTTGTTTATGTCTCTTTCAGTACACTGCACTTATTTAAAGAGCTATAGACAGGGCACTCCCCAACTCTGGCTGGAGGAAATTTTCACTGGGTGGTTATTGAGACATAAGTTCTATCTTGGGTTCCGATGACATCCAAGCAAGAGAAGTAAAAAAAAAAAAATCACATGTTAAAAACAACAAATCCTGCTTTGTAATTTCCCCAACTTAATTATATGTGCACACATTTAGAATTTAAGATTATTTTTATCCTGTAGATTTCAGTTTCCAGAAGCGTTATGTTATGTGGCCTTGAAGCCAGAAGCGATTAGTGGTGTTTCTGAGCGCTGAGATGTTTGTGCAATTTTATTCTTACATGGATAAAACTTACACATGACTATTAATATATTCAATCTTGTCAGTTTTAGAACCGATAGGATTTCTCTGGTAGTCGTTGGTGCTACACTAAACCGAGTAAGTCCAACCAGTAGGCATCCATCTGGAAATGGCTCCCGGCTGGCATGTACCGGTGAGCCTATGCCCAGTCACAGGCTTGAGATGGCTCCCCATGCCCAGGAGGCAGTGGGTCCAGCCCCACAGTTAGAGGCAGAGCCCTCAGGCTTTGTGGTCTCTCGCTGCCGTTCTAGGCCTGGTAGCCCCCACATCTGCTCAAGCTTCAGAAACTCACAGGGTTTCTACAGGGCAGAGTCCGCCCCCAGCGAAAACTGAAAGCAAATTCCGCCGCCGAGTCTGAACTTCGCTTCCCGAAAGTATTCTCCAGGGAATCAGGGGCGGCTTTGGGAGGACAGCGTTAGTGTGAACACACGAGGGATGGACCGGGTGGCCTCGCTAGGCTTGAGGCGAAGAGGAGGCACCCTTTCTTCCTTATTTCTGTTACTCCTTGGTGCCCACCTCCCGCCCCCGCCAGACGATTTCCAAACTGCGCAGACGTCCAGCATGGTCTTCTATAGTTCGAACCAGGAGCTGCAGGAGAAGAAGCTTTGAAAGAGCTGTACAAAGCGTAACCCAGGATCCTCCGCCTGAACCGTCTTGAGAAAATGAGACCAGATCACCTTCTCTGGACAATGCTTAGAAGTCATTCTGAGCAGTCTCTTGCCCAGCTCTCTGCCCTAACTTCGAACCAGAGTTTAAATAACCCGGGGCCACCTGCGCTGCAAACTTTCATCTCTGCGGCTCTGTCGTCGGATGAGGGCATATGCAGCACTACACATGGATCACCTTGGCCTCAAGCCGTGAGAAAAGCTTGCTTCGAGAGGACGGGATTCCCGTCACACGTGGTTGCTCAGACCCTTCTAGCAAGGCTATCCTCTAACTCGAGGCGCTTCCCTTTGAGACCCGTGGATTTGGGGTCCAGCAAAGGTGCAAACAGCGCGCTTGCTTGGACTCTGGAGGGGGTGACTGCCAGTCTCTCCACGGGGCCTGTCCCCGGGCCGGCCACAGTGGGTGAGTGATGAGGGCAGAGAAGGGCGCCCATAAATCGCGAGTGTCAGGGCGAAAAACTCTCTTTATTGTCTGCATGATGGATGGGCCCGGGGACGAGACACCAAATACTTCGTATCGCCTTTAAATGGGAACACATTTTCCGTGGCCATAATTCATGTTTTTTAAATAGAAAGTTTGAAATGTTGCCTATATTTCACCGGCACTGACATATTTATGAATCGCTCCTTGCATGCAAATATCATTATTTAAAGCGACCGGGAGACCGCGGGGGGGGGGGGAAGGGAGGTGGAGCCCCCGGGGGGGCATGGGAGTGGTAAATCGGGGACCTATAAATGGAGGGGGTCAAACTCCCTAAAGGGCAGATGATGGGGCCCGGGGAGGGCGGGGAGGGGAGCTGTGTCTGGAAGCTGAGCACGCTCTGGGGTTTCACTCCCTCTGACAGCGTTGCTAGGCCTCCAGGGGAAGTCTGCTCGGATTGGGACTGAGGGCAAGTTTCTTAGTCTCCTGCGGAGGAACCAGAAAATAATTTGTGTCTCTCTTTGAGACTGGGTAAAAGCTGAAGCCACATGTTCCATTTTCCAAGAAGGAAGTAAAAAAAAAGTTTAACAAACACAAGTAAATAATAATAACAACAACCCAACATGTTTCGTGTTCTTTGCCACTGTATTGATTTTATTGATTTTCACTCTGCAAACCTGGGACTGTGCGCTCCCGGGCGGGGCGTATGTCGGTACCCAGTCACCGCGCAGAGTGGGTGGGGGACAATCCTTGGGTGTCACCCCCCCCCCATTCAGCTCGACAACTCCCAGGCGTAACGGAGACTGCACACGACACGGGGTACACAGATGACCCGGCCCCGGAGCTGGAGGGCTTCAGTCCCGCCCCTTCTATCTGCCCAGCCCCGGCACCCCTCGGGGTTCCGCATTCCCTTCCCACCACTGTCGGATCAATAGTCTCTTCCTCTCTCCTTTCTTCCCTCTCTCTCAGTTGACAGAGTGCCTGCCTGGCATACATGAAACAGGAGGCCTGAGCTCAGCCCCCAGCACTGCCCCCAGCCAGGCTTGCCCGGGAGGCGCCCACACCTGCGCCCTTCCTGGCGGACACTTTACCTGTGCTGTTCTCAGAGGTGCCTCCCAGAGATGCCAGCGGCCGCGCGCGCGGATAACCGAGAAAGGGTGGGGAGGGCGGGAAAGTGGGAGGGGCAGGGAGCAGCCTGTAGCGCCGACCCAGCATCGTCTCTCCTGACCTGAAGCAGGGACGCGGGTTTAAGTGGCTCTCGGAGCCGAATTGCGCTGTAGAGATCAGGCCCAAGGATGGGCGAGCATGAACCGGCCTGCTGAAGGAGGGGCGGGCCCAGCAGCACTTCCGCTGGGGTAGGGCTGCGGGCGGACGCGAGGCTCCGCCCCCTGTCGCGTCGACCCGCCCCTTATTCCAGCTTGGGTCCTCAACTCACTGAGTTTTTCTGTCCCAGCCCAAGGCTGGGCCCAACTCCTAACAACACAGGGGTGCAGTGAAAGCTCCCCCTTTCCCACCTGCGTTCACTTTCGCTTTAAATCGTGAAAACAGAAGAGCCTAGGCCCCTTTGGAGGACTTACCTGGTCCAGAAGCCTTAAAGCTTAGTCTGGGATTCAACCACATGTCCCTTGGAATAGGTGGGCCTCTCTCTCACCTTTCAGCAGGAACAACGCTTCTTTTTCCACGCTATTTTTACTCAAATGAATGTCATTTAGTAAACCCACATCTCATTTAAAAGAAGTGAATCTTCATGTGTAATCATTTAGCCAAATTACCTAAGGGTAAATAGTAGCTGGGGTATGCTGTGGATGGGGAAACATGCCTAAGACGGAAAACACCGAACAACACGCTAACACTTTCTGATAGATGGCTTTGTGCCAGAGCTAGACAAGAGTGTTTGTGAGAATGAAGCCCCCAGAGCAACTCTCTAGACAGGTGCTGTGGACATCCTGTCCTACAGGTACATTGGAGCACCGCCTTCATCACGAGGCATCCTTCTCTTCCAAGCCTGGGTACTCCAGCTGCCCCAGGCAAGTGTTCTGAGGTCTGGGATGTGTGTCCTCTTAGCTGTACCCATTTGGACTTGAGTGCTGAGCCAGATGAATGGTACAGAGGAGAGGAGAGGTGTTGGAGGGGAGGTCTCAGCTACCAGTCGCCTGGAAAAGCTGACCTTTGAGCACCCTGATTTCTCCCCCATGTCCTAGGGAGGGCCAGAGAGCGCTTTCTGTGACAGGGGTTGTGTGTGTGTGTGTGTGTGTGTGTGTGTGTGTGAGCAGCAGACCAGGGGCTGGGGACACACACTTGGCAGAGAGATACTAGCTTGGCATGCATGGAACAGAAGGCAGCCCTGCCCCCGGCACTGCCCACATAAAGTAGGCGCAGTGGTCTATTCCTGTAATCACTGTACATGGAGGCGGGGGTAGCCTGCTCTGACAGCCAGTTCCAGGTTAGCCTGAATGAGACTATAAAGGACAACAAAGTAAGCAACAATATAAAAACCCAAATAGCAACAGCAGCAACACCCCAAAACAACAACAACAACAGCAACAACATTATGTCTGGAAGTTGAGCACACTCTGGGGCTTGCTTCTCTTTTGCTTAAAAAATGTGTGTGTAAGGTTTATTTGGCTAGGTGTTAGTGGCACATGCCTTTAATCTCAGCACTCCGGAGGCAGAGGCAGGTGAATCTCTGTGAGTTCGAGGCCAGCCTGGCCTACAAAGTAAGCTCCAGACAGCCAAGGCTACATAGAGAAACTGTCTCCAAACACAAAGCAAACAAAAACAAACAAAAAATGTGTGGGTGTTGGCCAGGCAATAGGCAGAGGCTATTCAGATCACTGAGTCGAGGCCAGCCTAGTCTATGGACCGGGTTCCAGGACAGGCTCCAAAGCTACACAGAAAAATCCTGTCTCAAGAAACCACACACATGCCGGGCGTTGGTGCACACCTTTAATCCCAGCACTCGGGAGGCAGAGGCAGGTGGATCTCTGTGAGTTCGAGGACAGCCTGGTCTACAGAGTTCCAGGACAGCCTCCAAAACAATACAGAGAAACCCTGTCTCAAAAAACCAAGAAAAAAAAAAAAAAAAAGGAAACCACACACACACAAAGTGTGTGTTCCAGCTGTTGTTAACAGCACATCAGTCTGCACCCTCGGCTGGTCTGTCTTTCCCAGCCTTTGCCTCTTCCTTTTGATTGCTCAGATAGGCTGGGCTACTTCCCACCTCAAACGTTTTTGACTCCCTTTGTCCTGTCCATCTGACTCTCCCTTCTTTTCCCTTAGATCTTCCAGTGCACACGGCTCTTTGGGCACACCCCCACCTCCTGTAACCCTCAGCGCTTGCAGGATGTCCTGCTGAGACGTCTTCTTCCCGCTGCCATGGTAAACTCCAACCGGCAGAGCCTGGAGCTGTTTCTCCCGAGGAATGAATGAAGATAAATAAAAACATAATCAACTGTGCTGAATGAATGGACAATGACATCTTAGGTTCGCTGCACTTTGTGAGGGGCACCAATAAGCATTCTCAGATCCCGAGATGTTCTTGGTTTACAGAACAAGCCTCATGGAAAATATGACTGTGTTGAGTCCTTATATTGTGAACGCCAGTTAAGAGGATGCTGGGAGAGTTGGACAAGAGTCATATCTTGGGCGTGTCAAGTGGAAACCGTGCGGATTGACGGGAGGAAGAGGCGTGCCTGTGCCTTGACCACTCCTCTAGGGGTCCCGCATATATTCACATCAAGGTTCTAAAACGGCAGAGAAGCTGCCCCCAGCCTAGCCTGGTGGCCTCCTTTCTTTTGGCGTCTTCCCAGATTATGGCAGTCTCTGTTCAGCCCCCTTCCATCTTCAGACGGAGCTGCCACAATAGCCAGTCCTCACACGCTCTAATCCGTCTGTCACACCTGCCTGGTTAATTTTCCTGATTACATCATTCCCTTGCTCAGAAACCTTCAGGGGCTCTCCATCATCCACGTATAACACTTAACTATTCAAAAAATATGGTTTCGGACCACATATAGAAAGCTTTAAGCTGCAGACCAAAGTTATGCATGTTCACATCAGTCAGAAAAATACTCAAATATATAAAAAGAAAAAAAATGATCCCTCTTTAGTTCCCGTTCAGTCTCCTGAGGTACCCAGTGTGACCTGGTTTTGAGTACACCTTTCCCCCTGCCAGGTTCTGGGGATTATTCTCAAAGGCCTGGTGCTGTCTAAGTACTTTACTCCTATGCTGTAGCCTCAGCCACTAAAATTAAAAAAAAATGTGTGTGTGTGTGTGTGTGTGTGTGTGTGTGTGGTGTGCTGTGTGTGTATGTGCACGCATGCGTGCACATGCCATAGTACCTATATGGAGGTCAGAGGACAACTTTCAATAATAAATTCTTTCTTCCTATCATATGAATTCTGGTGATTGAGCCCAGGTGTCCAGGCAGCAAGAGCTTAACCCACCGATCCCCACTCCTCACCACTTTCTTTGAGACATGGTTTCCCTGTGTGACTCAGACTGGCTTTCAGCTCATGATCCTTTGATTCTGTCTCCCAAGAGCTGCATTTGAGGCCACACCTGCAACTTCTATCTTTTCTGCTATGCTCACCCATATCAATGGGGTTGTTATCTCATTGCTTATACACAAAGATATCTCTAGGGGGTGTCTCTGCAATTTTCCCATTCTTTCATGACAATAAATAAGCTATAGATATACAGCTAACTTGTTTTTTTAACCTTTGAAAATTTAATTACTTATTTTTATTACATATACAGTGTTCTGTATCCATATATGTCTGCACACCAGAAGAGGGCACCAGATCTCATGATAGATGGTTATGAGCCACCATGTGGTTGCTGGGAATTGAATTCAGGACCTCTGGAAAAGCAGGAATTGCTCTTAACCTCTAAGCCATTTCTCCGGCCCTAGCCAACTTATTTTTAATATATATATACATATATAATGCTTATTCAATATTCAACTATTAGTGGGTAAGTCAGTTGCTACCATGCTTCTTTAATTAATAAAATTATGTGCCTATGTTTTTGCAATCAGTGATTTATTTCTATAGGATAGATTAACAAATTACAATAGTCTACAAAATAGCCAAATTGAATTTCTCTGTCCTCTCTACACGCCCTGTGTTTTTCTTTTCCTCCCTCCCTTTCTTCCTTCCTTTTTTAAATTTGAGACAAGGTTTCTTTGTGTAGTACTGGTGTCCCGAAACGCTGTCTGTAAACCAGGGTGGCCTCTAATTCAGAGATCCGCCTGTCTCTGCCTCCCGAGTGCTGGGACTAAAGGTGTGCGCCACCATAGCCTAGCCCCTGTATTTTTCTCCTTCTGTCTCCTCTTCCTGAAAAAGCCCTTGTTCCCATGTTCAACCAACTTCTAGCCCTGCAAGGACCAAATCTGACACTAGCTATGCTGTCCCTCCCTCTTTCCCTCTCACCCCAACACTACAAGGTACCAGGCACAGGAAGTGGTTTAAGGTCAGCAGAGACCAATCGTAACTATCTTCTCTTCTTTCCCAACCGCCCTGGGGATGCTATGAGACCAGCTTGTGGTAAATGGGGATCAGGGGTGGCCAAGCGGGACAGGAATGCTGGGAAAGATTCCTGAGTCATCATCACAGGGCATGTTGCAAATGGTTTGACTCTTCCCACTCTTCCTGTTCCCTCTTCTCCATGGACTTGAATTGAACATCTAGAGCTGTAGCCACTGGCTTATGACCAGAAGGAAAGGTCTAAGTGTACTGCAAAGAGAGCCTCGATCTTGCTGTCACTGGAACATGGAACCATCTTCAGCATTTCCCCCTTTCCAACATCTTTCTTGTGTGTGTGTGTGTGTGTGTGGATAGTCTTTATTTAGTCAGTAAAATAACGCTTTTCACATTTCAGCCAAGTATCTGTTAACCTTCCCATCCAGCAAGCCTTTCCAGTGGTGTTCTGCCCTGAGGGCTGCAGCACAGTGATCAAAACAGACATTTGAAACCTATTTTAGAGACGTTCCTTCGTTGGTGCGGTGATGGTTTAGATGAGAAATATCTCCCATAGTTCCCAGCATTTGAATACTTGGTCTCCAGTTGGTGCTATTTGAGGAGGCCAAAGGAGGTGTGGCCTTGCTGGAGGAAGTGTCACTGAAGGCAGGCTTTGGGAGTTTGAAGATTCAAGACATATTCAGTTTGCTCTCTCTGCTTTGTGCTTTTCGTTCAAGATGTGAGCTCTCACATCTGCTGCACCCCCACCATGACAGATTTGTATCCCTCTGGAACCATAAGCCCCAAATCAACCATTCCTTCTATAAATTGTCCTGGTCATGGTGTTTATTACAGCAA